AAGGCCGGGTCCATTCCGGGGGGGGCTCGGCGTTGAGGCTGCGTTCGATCTTCTTGAGTTCCGAGGGGACAAAGTCGCCCCAGATGAACTTTATCGAGGGCACGTCCAGGGGGTGCATCTCTTGGTGTGTCGACATCGCCAGGAGGCGGGCGAGCAGCAAGAGGTAGAGGGACTGGTCAATGTCCTTGTTGTCGGGGTCTTTGGCGATCGAGTCCACGTCCGTGTCGCACACGGCGGGGTGGTATTGCTCTTGGGCCTTGGTGAAGCAAAAGTCGTCGCAAAAGATGGTGTCGTAGCACTCCGGGCAGCTGACCGCCTTGGAGTGTTGGTCGAGGGGCGGGAGGGCCGTCCCGCAGGCGTCGCAGGTGGATTCCTTGTGTCGGTTGTTGGCTGTGAGGAGAGAATACTCTTCCAGCACCGTCTCACCCGGGGCGATGTCCTCTTTGGCAAAGAGGCCGAGCTGATTACACGTCGGTATCACGTCGTGGCCGTCCGTGTTGCTCTCGTCATCGAGGAGGACGGGGAGTTTAGACACGCGGACCTCGCACTTTGGAGCCATGGTCGACAGCTGCTTGTTGAGGTGGGCCAGCGACTCGGCCGAGAAGCGGTCCGGTTCGTGGGTGTTCCATGGGTAGACTTCACGGCGGACGACACCGCGGTCGGGGAGGCTGTTGATGTCGATGGGGGCGTCTGACTCTTTGCGTAGTCTGCGGCGGCCGACTTGCTCGATGTAGCCCTTGATCTCGATGAGCTCTCTGTTGTTCGGGGCCGTGTTCAGGCCTCTCTCGCAGAATCTGAGCGCGCTTTTTAGGCTCCCGCAGAGAAGCAGGCTCAAGGACAGGATCTGGTAGGCGCGGACAGAACCGAGGCGGGCCAGGAGCTGACAGGGACCGACTCCCTCCAGCCCTTCCATAACATCCTCGCCAGCGGTGCCGTCTGATATCCCTTCCGTAAGGGAGCCATGGTCAAGGACCACAGGGCAAGGCGTTGTTGAGTAGCCCTTGAGTGCTTCCAAGGCCTGCTCGTGGTACTCGAAGCTCTCATCGCGGACCTCGTCGGCCAGGAGAAGAGCACGGTAGGCGTCACCAGCAGCGAGGTCCGGGTAGGCGAGGTCAGAGTGGACCACGGCTCGCTCCAGGTAGAGGATCAGGTCGTAGGGAGAAGCAGACAGAGAGTCTGTCAGCTGCTGACGACGCTCCAGGAGGTGCTCCCTACAAGGGTCCTTCTCGTCGGGCACGGACGGTGACGGAGCCTCCATGGTCGATCAGGTAGATCAGACTAGGTAGGGGGGTGTGTTGAATTCCAAGGACCAAGTCGGATAGAAGAGCAACGAAAACAAAAGAGAAGAATAGACCGGTCTAGACGGGGAGGAAGCCAAGGGAAAGAAAGCACAACAGGTTTCGGGTTCTGGCTTGGTCGGGTACCTTGCATATATATGTCTGCGCCAGACGCTACAGACAGGGACTATCTGTTGTAAGGTGCCCCTGTCGCTTGTCGTGGAATTTTTTTGTTCCTGGGTGAGGAGCTGACGGGGACAGGCGGAGAGGTTGGACCCGTCTTTTTTGGTCGAGAGTCGACCACGATGACCTCTCTTTTTGCAGCTAGCCTCGACGGTAGATATCGGTAGGGGGGTGTCTTTCCCGCTTGAAGTTCAAGCGGCGCGGGCGGACGTCGGCTCGGGTCGCTGCCCTAATAGCGACCCTAAGAAACAAGCTGGGATTTCCTAGTTTGTCGTTGCCAAAGCCAAAATTGACGTGCCCTGGCTTTGCGAGCCCCGCCAAGAACGAACGAGCGAAGGTGGTTAGACGGCTGTGACTGGAGAACTGGGGGAGCCCAAGCAGCAGACGCAGGGCTACCGGGTTGCAAGACCTTGATTTTGGTACAATCGACGGGGCTCCCATCTTGCTTTGATTGACCCAAGTAACGCCGGGCATCTGCATACTGATGCTCTCACAGCCCACGCCGCCTCGCACACCTCCATCACAGGGGCCGTTGCAAATGCTCCGGAAGACAGGAGGCGCTAACCCCCATCCAGCGCCCTCGCACCAAAAAAGCCGGCCGATGAGAGCCCCCAGTACAGGAGTGCCGTCATCGCACTGCTCTCTTTGGTGTTTGATGGGGGAGCCGTAAATCCCGAAAATAATCCTATCCTTGCCCACAGCCCGCTGCCAGCTGGACCCTTCTTCCAGAGGGGGGATATCACAATGTAAGGCAGTAGCGTACATACCTAGCGGTACCTGAACATCTGTATCTCAGAGGTACCTGGAGGTACTGCTCTTGATATGACGATCAGATATGGCATCTTCCAGCTTCCGAGACACGTCAGCCTTGTTGGGGGGAAGACATCACGCGCACACCTGCATCGACAAGATACGATAGACAAGATATGTCTTGAGGGGGAGGGGGTTATTGGAGCGGTGTTGGGAGCTGAGATGGGCCCGTGGGAAAGATGGCAGGTCGTGACAAGGTCGAGATTCAACCGACCGAGACCCTGGCTCCACCTAGACCCCTGTGAGATGCGGTTAAAACAGGGTTCACACCCACCAAAAACCCGCGGGCGTTCGGGTTCCCTGAGATTCAGGGTCCTGCCCCAAATGATGGCTTGCATATTCGCTGTGGCAGCTGGCCAGTGGCAAGCCCGTCTTAGCTCCCTGGCACCCATTGGCGTACCCCATGCCACAGTCTGGACCTACGTCATAGCCAGCCTCCAACAACCCCCCCCAATGCACGCCAGACCAAGTTCCAGGTTCCAGCTCTCGTCCAAGGGGGAGTCTGGCGGTCTCCTGATTGCGGCGACGGGTTGCGTGTCCTTGCGGCTCGTCCCTACACCTTACACCATAAGTGACCACCTCGCACCTCGTCCCTTTTGCCTCCCGGCATCGTTTCCGCCGTTTGGAACCGAGCGGCCACAGCATCGCATCTGTGTCACCTAGATCACCCAGCTCAAACACAAGTGTCTGGAAAAGAACACGCCGTAAATCTATTGGTTGCTTGCTGTCTGCTTGTGCGAGCTGTCCTGTCTATCACCTAGGAAACCCCGTCATGGGCCCGGAACAACCTCACTGCTTCCTCGCGACAAGCCCAATGTCGCTCAGTTTGTCCACATAGAATGCTGGCACCGCAACCGCATCCGCTGCCTCCCAGTGTTCCTTCTGACTTACGCCCGTTAGGACTGCCAGCGTGCCACCGAGCTTCCCCTCGATTCCGAACTTGATGTCGGTGTCAAGACGATCCCCAACCATGCATGTGCGTTCACGATCGAATTGGAACTTGCCCTCGACAGCATCCATCATGGCTTGGCTAGGCTTCCCGAGCGCCACCGGCTTCTGGCCCGTTGAATACACGAGAGGCATGCTCATCGAGCCTGCACCGGGGAAGAAGCCGTGGCTCATCGGGAAGGTCGAATCCACGTTGGTCGCCAAGAAGATGGCACCCCGCCTCAGATACTGGAGCGCATGCGAGAGCTTGAGGTAGTTGATGTGAAAGTCCAAACCGACGAGCACGCATCCCACCTCGGGGTCCAACAGAGAACCATCAGCGAGACCTTTGAAGTCTTCAGGGGTGACATCCCTTCGGAAGGCAGGGTCAGTGCCGCCAATGAAGGGTACATTTTCGCTCCTCAGCTCATGCTCGATGCCGGCCTCTCCAATGACAAAAACCTTGTTTTTGGGCGGCGCGAGCTTGAGGATTCTGGAGATGTAAACCGAGGCGGAATATGCCGAACCGAATATCTCCTCCACGTCAGACGGAATTCCTAAGCCCGTGAACTTTTTGAGGTATTCTTGGCGAGATTTTGTCGAGTTGTTGGTCACAAAGACTATCTTTTTGCCTATCAGGGGTTAGCCATCGAGTGGGCCGAAAGCAAGACAGGGCTCTCACCTCTGTATCTCAAGTGTTCCAGAGTTTCCACAACCCCCTCGAACACATGCTCGCCGGACCAGATGACTCCTGCGGCAAGACTGTTAACGTCAGATCACCATGCGAGCTGCCGAAAGCGAGAGCAACTATACCATCACAGTCTAGCAAAAACACCTGGTGGGCAATGAGTATGGCAAACAGGCAAGGGGGGGGCGGGGGGGCATGGGAGCTGGTAGTGTCAACGCACATCAAAGCGATCAATGAACTCGTTAATGGCGGCCGCATCACCGGTGAGGTATTTTGGCGTCGTCATGGTGCAAGATTCTAAGGCGGAATGAAGAGTATTACCAAGAATGTGGCTTCAGAGGTAAACGGGCCCGGTATGATTATGTCGACTGAGTCAAGTGGTATTCGCCGATGCGGTGGGTTGAGTGAGGTCTTGGTCAATCTGATTGAAATTCGGCTATGGGCTTTTTGCGACTCTGCCGCCTCCACGAAGGACCTGTTCCCCCAAGCCCCTTCTCAGCTGGCCGTTGACCATGATTGGCTGCATTGTTGTGGCGGCAGAAGGAAGCTGTCGTCGGATCAATCTGGACTCGACAGGCATCTTCGGGATTCTGTGACAGCTGCAAAACAGAGTGACGAGATCGACCTGGCTGTCATCTGATGTCCTTCTGGGCCTTACTTTTGCAGCCCGAGTCCGGCTGAAAAAAGACGACGATACTCCAAAGAATCCCAGATGCTCAGAACAAAATCTGGTGGAGCTGCTGCCCTTAAACACTCAAAAGCGGGACTATGACGCAATGAATTCCACCCAGACCCCCAAAGCTCTCAGCAACCCCGCAGAGTCCACCCCACCCCCGCTAACTATCAACAACTTCGAGAAGTCTCGACCACAGCCTTCCATCATGTGATGGGAATTGACTTTTTCTTTCACAAAGACAGAGAACCGCCCAGAGCGCTCGAAATATTCAAAAATCGTTGAACCTCAATCCCAAGTCCTCTTCTGTTCCAGAGCAGTCCTTGTGTTTCCGTGGCCGGTCTTGGCAACTCCAGTGTTTCCATCAAGAGGCTGCGGAGATAGCTCCGCGAATGGCAAAGATTGACAACCTTTGTCCCCATGCTTATACTCGATCCGAACACAAAATCGTATCATTGTGAGAGCATATCAGACTTTATGCCCACTGGTGATTGGAGGTGTGGTTAATCCTTATATCGAAACCTCCACCCTGGAGACTCTGATGTGAGGGCTATCAAGGCTTTTACATGAACGGTCCGTATTACCCGCGTATGCCATAGTTTCGACTGTACACGTATGCTGGCCAGACAGTTGGTCTGGTGCAGTTTATAAACGGTTTTCATGGCTAGTTGAAAGCATTGTACGAAGAGGCGTTGAAGTCTTTATATGCATCTGTGCGCATATTTCGGACCTCATCGAAGCTCCTCCGACGAGTGTAGCATAGACCATTACCGGCGCATGTCATCGATGAGATCTTGCCAGATCGTCATAAACCCGTCACCCTGGTAAGGATATCGGCTGCCCTGATCGACGGGCCCGTCATTCCCAACGGTGTCTACCACGCGCCGGCCGATGCCGAAGTGTATTCGGCACTAGCAACCATCAGCGAGCCATTGTGACGATGTGCCGGATCGAGCTGCCTGCGCCGCGAGTTGAACCTCATCTCCGGGTCAGGACTGCTTTGTCTGTCGCGCTCCGGTCCTAGTATTTCTAGACGTAATAGACCTGTCCAGACTTTGGGGGTCGAGCATCTCTTTTCCTGCAAAGTTTAAAAAATCCCGAATTACTCTCTGTTGAGGAGCGATCACTACGGTGTCAAACTCTCGTCACTAACAACTACAGGCAAAAAGAGGTTCAAACAGGGGTTGCTGAGCCGGACAGGACCAAAAAAGCTCTTCTGCAGCTGCCCCTCACAAACATTTGCTACCCCTCCTGTCCAACAAAGCCCTCCACGAAAAACGCCCCTCCATTAGAAACCCAGCCACAAAAAATCCCGCGCAAGACAGCCCACCCATCCACACTCAAGATACCGCGTCGTTGGGAATCTCAGCTCATCTACTACCACACAGACACACCACAGTAAGAACCACAGCATCTTATCGCCCACTCCCGCGTCAAGCTAACCCTCCAACCCCCGAAAAAGCTCCATCCCCGCACCTCCTCCCCCACGCCTGCTTGTGTGTCTCACAACCGCCAAGAACCCACAACAAATTTCCCAACAACCCCCGTTGAAGACTGGGAACATCTTTCTTAGAAAATCACCCTGCCCAAACTGGACTTTTGATTTGGGACGCTTAGGGTAACAACCGCGAAGCTGAGGCTATCTCTGGTCCTTATCTATCTCGGAGCTCTACAATCACCAACACCACCACAACCACAACCACAACCACAACCACAACAACCACACAAAACCGTCAAGATGGCCAAACAAGCGAACCTCTACTCGTTCCCCTCAGTCAAGGACAACCTAGCTCCCGCCCTCCGCGCCTACGTCATCTCCTGCCAGGAAGCCGGCCTCGCCCGCCACAGCGTCTTCAAAGTCGCCGTCTCAGGCGGCTCTCTCCCCAAAACCCTCGCCCAGGCCCTCCTCGCCCCCCCCTCGGGCCCCAACGACGAAGTCAAGTGGGACAAGTGGGAAATCTTCTTTGCTGACGAGCGCGCCGTCCCCCTCGACCACCAAGACTCGAATTACTTCCTCCTCAAGCAAGAACTGCTTGACAAGCTCCCAGCCAGGCACCGGCCAGCCGACGGTCGCACCCCATCGACACCGAATATCTGGACGACACCCAGGAGCTGGCGGATCAGTACGAGCAAGCCCTCGTCAAGGTCTTTTGCCTCGAGGGACAGCGTCAAGCTTCCGATTTTTGACCTTTTGCTGTTGGGCTGCGGACCGGACGGGCACACGTGCAGCTTGTTTCCCGGGCATGAGCTGCTGAGGGAGACGAGCGCGTGGGTGGCGCCTATTGAGGATAGTCCCAAGCCGCCTCCGAAGAGGGTCACGCTTACGCTGCCGGTGGTGACGCATGCGGTGAGGATTGCGTTTGTGGCTACGGGGGGTGGGAAGAAGGAGATTATGAAGCAGATTTTTGAGGAGGGGGCCGGGTTGCCGTGCGCGCTGGTGAATGAGGGCGCGGGGGAGAGGGCGAGCTGGTTTGTGGATACTGATGCGGTGGAGGGTGTCAGTTATCCTAGGAGGCCTTTCTCTCTTTAAGGGGGACGGAAAAGAAAGAAAAAAAGGAGGGATGGAAGAGAGATATGAAATGAACAAGCTTTCTTCACTTTGTTGAGGTTATGATTTTTCTCTTTTTTCTTCGTTTACGAAAGGCTTTGTCCTATGATTTTTGATATCCCAGAGGGTTTCATTTGTTTGGTGGCTTCGATGTCCTGAATGCGCTTGACTTTTGAGGAGTAGTTTGAGACCAGGACCCTTCTGATACACTTAACTGCTCTTAACCACTGCTGATATTTCATCATTTTGGCTTGAAGTGTAGTGGAAACCGTGATCATGTGGTTCTCTTGGCACCGGTTGATTCTGATCAAACGCTACAGGAGAGCTGAAGAGGTTCACATTCTTGCCCTTCTACTGCAGGTGCTGTACTAAACGAGCCAAAAGCTACGTATGCGCTCTCATTATAGAGCTTTGTTCATCCTCAAAACAGGCAACCGGTTGATTGTATGTATGATATCCATTGTGTAGGTTAAAAGGAAAAAGGGAGAATCGGCAACCCCCGTCCAACACCACATTGTCAGAGACACTCCTAGGCCATATCAATAAATCATTCGTCGCTGGCATCATGAACCGCCCCTCAAAAAGCCCTCCAAACCGCCCCCGCCCTCCTCCTCGTCTCAACCCCCTCATCACCCTCCCTATTAACCCTCCTAACCCACTCCATCTCCTGCTCCCTTACCTCCCTCTCCACAACCTCCATAATCTCAATCTCTTCCACCATCCCCCCCATCAGGTCTTTCACCCCATTCAGCACCCTCCCCAACTCCCCCGCCTCACCAGCCTCACACCCGTCCAAAACCCCATATAAATCCTGGCTAACAGCATGAACCTTCCTGCTTATACTCCCAATCTCCTCCTTCCACTCCCGCCCAATGCCCTCCACCAACCCCCACTCCCCCTTCTCCCTTGCAACCATCACCTCCTCCGCCTGCCCCAACCACTTCCCAAACCTCGCCACAACCCTCGAATACCTTCCCCCCATTCTCCGTCAGCCCCCCAACCTTGGCCAACCACCTCATCCAAAACCCTCACCCTTCCCCT